GGATCTCAGCCGTTCAAATGCCAGTATTGTTACACAGAATATGTAAAGTCCCAGCTCAGATAAGAGCGCTGCTGATCGCCTGCTCTGATACATGGCAGAAAACTTTGTTGGATGGCAATCAGCGTGCGAAATGTATTCCTCCAATTCCTGGCAAAGGGATTAATAGAGTTTTGCATATTATTATACAGATTCTACACACAGCAAGTTTCCTCAGGCACCTTTTATACCTGTAAGATATTCTACATCAAATATAATACGCTGCCACGGGCTGATGGAAAAACCTATTTCGCACAAAGAGCACACAGCATATGGAAATAATTCAAGAAATAACAATAAATTGTTTTCAGTTTTTAAATGACTTACAGTGTTTTTATTATCATGCATTGACTGTATAGTCAAAAAGTGAAACAGTTAAAGGGAACTCGGGGAAGAATGCACATTTTAAGCAACTGTAAGTGTCGTTTTTTTAATTACCTTTGGTGCTTCTGGTGCTGGACTACTTGCACTTCCAAGACAGAAAAGAAATCTCTAGGTCTGCTGTTTTTATTTTGATCATGTATTTATGTATTTTAAGTGAGGGTGTGGGGTATAGAGACAGATCACTGTTAAGTTTTGGGTTTAAAAAAATATTTTAAAGGCTAATCCTAAGCTTCTGAAAAAGCGCTTCCAAAACCCCCCCCAACCTCAAGCCTGTTGAAAATGTGTAAACTATGCTTTAAAACAGAGTCTGTGCCAGGAAACCAAGAAGAGCAACCAAATATTCACACAGAGTTATATTTGCTGATGGCTACCAAAAGCATCTGGTTGAGGTGCAGTTTGCCAAGAGACATTTTAACAAATATCAGTGGAGGTGCAGTTATACATTTTAACCTATATCTACATTATTTTTGAATGGGAACAAAAAGAGAAAAGTCTTGAGCACCTGATCCTTGTTTTAAAGGCTTTAAAGGTGTATGCTCTGCAATTATTTCACCCTGTCAAAACAAAACAACAAAGAAATCAAAAGTCAAAAATGACCATGATGCCAGCAGGGTGCACCTTAACCTTTAGAGAAGAAACATGAGAGTAGTTTCAGTCCTCCCATCTGACTGTTGGCGAGTAGGTAAGTCAGTAGACTTCCTAAAAGGTAACTTCTTAGGAGAATCAGGCATTTAGGCCATTACAACAATCCACTAAATGAAACCATACTCTGCTTACGTGCTCCTTCAGCATAGAGAAGAACTGCTGCTAATATCATGTGACAGGTGAAAGTGTGAAGAAATAAATTCAGTGTGTCATTAATGTTGGGTTGCTCTTAAGACATTCCTAGACTGACTGACTTGGAGGCTAACTTGAAGTTTTCCTCTTTCCTCTCTGGGATTTTGCATTTGTCTTCAGAGACTCAACTCTCACGTTCATTCTCTAATCGCACAGAGGCGTATGACCCTGAGGATGGGAATAAAAGAAGAAGAAATTACTTTCATTAAGAAATTCAGATTTCCCCCATCCTTTTGATCTTGTGCCAGAAGAACATTTATGCTGATGAAATGCATAAATAAAGTTCTTAAATTATCCCATTCCTCTTTAGCGTATGTATCAGAGTTGGAGAACTTCCAGACAAGACAACTACAATCACACTGAGTGCCTCTGAAAAGAGATGATTTAAGAGATGGCCTGCCACTGGTTTAAACATCATGTAGCTCGGCTTCAAGACTTTACTGGTAAAATGCACATCGAGCCATTTCCTGCAAGTGAATGAAAAGAAAACTGAATAAATGTGGCACTATGTGCTGTCAGGAGAATCAGCATTACCTAATTAATATCCCTAACAAACAATAATCACCATTCCCAGACTTTGTTTAGAGACCTCTTCTGTCCTCAATGTCCCTTAAAGCGCCTCTAACCCACCTTAACAAAAAATATCCTTATCATGAAGTAACTAAATCTTAATCATCTTTAATGCATGTCTTACAGTTTGGACACTGGGCTATTTTTTCCAAGAAGAAAAGGGACTGCCTGAACGCATTTGAATCAGGAGCTCTATGAACAACGACATATATGTGCAAACACATCTGTACAACTGGATGGGTGTCACTCACTCTTCGCCGGATTCATTTCTTTCTTCAGCCTGTGTAAAAGCACCTGTAGTCAAAGCACAGGGCACAGTTGTCCAGTTTAAAAGGGGAAACAGCGGGAGCTCAAAGACCAGGAAGAAACGGAGAAGCCGGTGCAAGAGTAGACAAAACAATCTGTTATTAAATGAAGATTGGGACCACGACCAGTCTGCCCGTGTCTAGTGCTTCACTTAACAACAGGGCGAGAGGTGACTCAGCCTGAAGCAGCCGCTGAAGCCAAAGAACAATCTCAGCTGTAGTCACCATATTTCAGCCAGCTTTTAATTATGCAGACAAGCTCAGGCTGCAGCGACCGAAAGAGACGAGAGACTGTAAATATAAATGTACTACTGCTGGAATATTTACTGTGTTATCATATGTGTATTAATAACATCGTATTCAATTTTCATTTTGAAATATAACAGTAACTGTACTCCTCATATGACTCACTTATTTTTAAAAGAAAGCAAAAGAAAGTTCAAAGTATTACAGTTAAATTTAGTTTGTATTTCCTCGCTGCAGCGCAGTTATTTCCCATCTCAGCTTCCAGGAATGACCCGCCGACTGACACCTAATATCGCTGACAGTAAGAAACATGTCCCTTCCCGCTGTGGGACCGATGACCATTTTCTACTGAAACTGAATGAGGGAAACACTTCTGCTTAATAAATTCCTCATGGTTTTGCCAGATGACACGTCTTTCCTGATAATATTGTGCAAGGAAACACTTTCATGCGTGTTGTGCAACATACTGACAAGAAAACCAGTCACAGTTTTATACAATGGAATAAAAACATTCCAAATTAAGAATAACTCACACAAATTTCTGGCTCATTTATCCCCAATCATTTCTTCCTTTGATAAGAAAAGTGATTACTAATCGTTTAGCAGAAGTCTTATCTCATCCACAAAGAGAATTAACGCCATGTTTCTTGACTTAACCATATCTGGCTGTTCATCAGCCGTCACTGTAGACAGTTATGCATCATTTAAGAGTGATGTGTGAAGGCAAACATCATTCTTCAAACTATTAAAAATTAGATAGATTAAAAAAGGCCATGAATGCATATCTGACCTGATTATTTCAGGAGAAAAAAATGGCAGGTGGATCTATCAGGCAGTGTTGGGTGAAGATCAGCTAGAGATGAGAAGCCACAACAAGTTTTGCACCACCTGCTCATGTCTATTACAAAGGATCAAGCTGTGCCATATTCACACCAATCAGCCACAGCATTAAAACCACCGAGAGTTAAAAGTGAAACCTGGGTCTTCTTGTTACAATACAATGCTCTGCTGGGAAACTTTGTGTCCTGGAATTCACATGCATGTCACTTTGACATGTAGCACCTGACTAAACAATGCAGACCAAGCACGCTCCCCTATAGTAATAGCAGAACAAGACAATGGAATTTTTAGGAGGCTCCTGAACAGATGTGATCCACTGAGACCCCCCTGTGCAAGCCTCTGTGCCCAAACCTAGACAACAACAACAACAGGAGAGTTTTGCTGTACTTTATCGTCACTGCTATCATGTGCAATACGTATGATTTAAAACCTATATTTCAAATGTCCTGAAATTGTTTACTTGGCCACCTGGGGACAGTAGAACAAGCTTTAAAAACCATACTGAACTTGTGCGATAATCTAGCTAAGGTAGGGATTATAATCCAATAAACACATACAGGCAAGAACTCCTGCTGCATTATATTGTAGCGCCTCTGTGGGCGTCCACACAGGCCCTCGCACGCATTATCCGATAAGGAAATGTATGTCATTTGGACCCGAGTGGACTCTTGCATATTTGAGGACGGGAAAACTTTTATTCCCGTATCATATGTTCACCAAGTTGTTCTCCCTGTCTTATGATGCAGGGCTGAAACTATAGTGTAGCATTTTAAAGCTTTACGCCAGGGGTCCCCAATCCCAGTCCGCGAGGGCCGGTGTCCCTGCAGGTTTTAGATCTCACCCTGGGTCAACACACCTGAATCACATGATTAGTTCATTACCAGGCCTCTGGAGAACTTCAAGACATGTTGAGAAGGTAATTTATCCATTTAAATCAGCTGTGATGGATCAAGGACACATCTAAAACCTGCTGGGACACCGGCCCTCGTGGACTGGGATTGAGGACCCCTGTTTTACGCTAAACAGCTGCCAGAGGAAAGTCGACAGGAGCGAGAGAAAAAACAAAACAAAAAAACCCTCCGTGTTCACAAATCTGCGTCCATTCTGCTCGTTTCCTGCTCCTTATTTTCACTCTCGGACTCTATTAGAGCTCTGCATGATTCACAAATCAAAGCTACCTTATGCTGGGCCTCCAAAGTGCACACCTCCCATTTCCTACTATGTTTAAGCAAGCTTTCTTCTGATTGGCTGCCACTTATTAAAAGCAGGTGGGTGGTGCTTCTTTGATTGCATATTCCTATACTGACACGATACAGAGACAACAATAGTAAGAAAAAAACAGTCTTAAAGCTGGAGGGCAAGTAGGTCAGCAGTTACACGCAGCTGCAGGCCAGCTGCCTACTAATAAAATGTATTAGTCAAAGATGTTTGAGAATGTCAAAACAAGCTCAAAGAACAAACTTGTTTGCTAACCAGCTGACATTAGTTGTGTAACAGGACGAAAGTTCATTCAGGAAAAGAGACACAAGAGAGTTTCACTGAATGACCAAAAACAAAACGAAGCCAATAAAGAAGAGGAAATGAAAATGTGTGTGTGGTGAGAGGTGGCAGCCCTCTGGGCTTTGATGAAATGAAATGTGGTTGCCTGAAGTGAAACCTATGAAACATTCCAGGCACAGCGATACCCGATGATATAATGTGCACTTTTAAAACGCGGACGCATGTAGTGAGGCTAAGTGAAGTGTTGAGGCAGGTGGATTTAAAAGAAAGGAAGCTGCTTACAATATAGCAAGGCTCACAGTACGCCTTCTTCTCCACAGCATAGAAGGGCTTTCCACGCAGCTTGGTGCTGCAAGTCATGCAGACGAAGCAGTCGACATGGAAGACCTGGTCCATGGCAGTGCAGCCGGTGCCTTCACCCACTACGTTCTCTCCACAGCTGGCGCAGCGCCCTGGGGAGAGGAAGAGGAGGAGAAGCTGAGAAAAGATTCCCTCTAAAACCAGAGATTTTTCACTTCTTAAAGTAAATAACATCAGTGATCAGTAAGGCTAAGAATAACGCGCAAACAACATAAATGTGGTTGTAATGGAGAGCTGAAACCTGTGACTGCTTCCATTCACTGCAATTGGTGCTTGACCTTGTGAGCGGCATCCTACAGTGCAGCAAATCTCTTACTTTCAGCCTAAAATGCAGCCACGCCGAAAGCAACACTCTTAACAGGTTTCTTAGAAAGATGTGAAAATAAGGATCATGTATATATAAGGTAACAGATACAAAGAGAGGACAATGTAGAGCTGCAGAGAAGCATCACGATGCCAGCAGTACAAACAATGGCTCTTGTTCTTTGAGTGGGAATCTGTGCATGAAAATAATTAAAGAAAGAACACAGCTAAAACTCTCGGTGTGCACTTTGATGAGAAACATGGGACAGCGCTTTAAACTCTGACATCCATTCATCCATTTTTCTTTTCCAATTAATTCTGCAACTGCAATTCAAGAACCAATAAAAGTTTAACCTTAACTATTCCCCATGTGTAGAGAAACCTTGGCAGATTTGATTTCAGGTATCACACGACATTCAGACGGAATGAACTCTAAACAGCCATGAAGCCTTCACTCCCTTTAGAAATCCTAGAGGTTGTTAAACCAGTGTCTTTTATGATTCTTTGATTAGCCCAGCCACGAAGGGGTGGGTGAGCGGTTGGGTTCACAAGCCAATCCCAGTGCCGGACCTAAGCCCGGATAAATGGTTATGGTTCTGATCAGGACGGGGATTTGGTGTAAAATCAGACATACAGAAAAGAAGCTGTGATGATTGGCTGCAGTGACCCCTGAAGCCAGCTGAAAGAAAGGCGACTAAAGCCTCTGCTGAAGGCTCTGCTTAGATCTCTCTTGTAAAAGAGATTTTAATCTGAATGAGGCTCCCTGCTTAAATAAAGATTTGTATATACCCACCTCACATCGCGGGGGAGCTGGATCCCATCCCAGGTGACACTGAGCATGAATAAGAGAACATCCCAGGACTAACACTGAGACACAAACAATCATTCTCAGTTGCATCAACACCTACAGACATTTTAGAATCACAGTTGGCTCAACGTGCATGCCTTTGGAAAGCTGAGAAAACCCAGAACCTTGCTGCTGTAAGGCGACAATGCTAACCAGTGTGAAAGCATGCCACCCAAGGCATTTTTTTCTGCCGCACCTCATTCCCACCTTATGGTTAGTTTTGAGGACTCTGGCAATGGGAGTCTCAACATAAGTCTAAGGATCCATGAAGAATTAAGAAAACGAATTGGTCAGTGAACCAAAAGGTGACAACGTTTACCTGCTTTCCAACATTTATCAGCAACACTGTGCAGTAAACAAAGAGGAAAGTTGAGCCACTGAATTTATAGTAATTTGATATGAGCGTTAAGTAAATTCTACTAACGAGAGCAGCCGGCAAAGAGCCAAAAAAGGAAAACAAGAACTTGAGAAACTACAACTGAGCGTTGAACTTAAAAGTGTTTTGACATCTAAATCGAGGATCCGTAGACCGAGCTTTTGTCCACGCGTCACCTCGCGCTCCCTCGTGCCACGAAGCTGGAAGCTGTCCCTTTAAAGGCTTCATTTCCTGACATCAGGGGCGTCTAATCTTCATTTCTATTTCAAACACTGGATAAGGAAGGATTAAATAATATAATTATGCCACATTAAAGAAAGCATACACATCACCAAAGAGTGACATCTGTTTAAAAAGTTGAGCATTAAATGATAAAAGAAAACTTTAGAAGTACAACGAAGTCTTTGTAAAAGGGGCACAAGTGAACTGATATTATTGCTCCAGAAAGAGGCTGATTGCATATTGCGGGACATGGCATTTGGATATCTTTAATTGAGTTGGAGATATCTTTAATTGAGTTTAAGATGTCCTCGACTCAATGCAAGTTATCTTCAACCCAATTAATAACACTGTCAATTTAATTACTGGTATCTTACAATAATAGGGTTTAAAAAAAGATATCTGAGAATGTTTTATTTTTTACACATCTGAGGACAGATGCAATCTCACAGAGCAAGCTTGATACAGTATATTTAATTAATTCAAGTTCAGTTCTGTGGATCATTTTCCTTCCCTTTTCATTTTTTGCTTCATCTAAAGGCTGATTTGGGCGATGATTGACACTCTGTATGTTCTGAACAGAGCGGTTCGAGCGTGTTACACACAGAGGCGAGACACTAACCGGGGGGAGATAGAGTATCTGATGCTCGCATTTTCACAGTTCCACTTGCTGTTTTCATATCAAAAATTCAAACGGAGTGTAAAGCGGATTCTGTCTCAGGTATCAGCACAACTTTTGGAAGTCATATGTTGCTGAGATCAAATATCTGCTTGACTGCGAGGCTTGCAAATGGTATTCTAATGTCACATAACTCATTATCTTATCACTGCAAATGGGGGAAAGTTGCTTAAAGAATGAGCGGATCCACAACTTTTTTTCCCCTTTTCCAGCATTTTGAAATCATTATTAGAACACTGAACATTAGATATTTTTGTTTCTTGTATTAGATGACTCAGGATTCATTGAATGAGGAAACTGACATTTCCCTTCTAAAAATTCTTGTCACAGCAGCATTTTGTACATTAATTTAGCGACTTCTGTCATCCAGGGCGACTTATAGCGCAGACAGGTTTTCATAAAGCCTGCCACCGGTTTCATCTGCTCCCACAGCTCTATCCACACCTCAATTATGGCTGTGTTACCTACTGTACAGGGAGGCAGATTAAACAAACTAGTGAAGGCACGTCTCGGGGGGACATGTGGGTGTCAGTGGAATCACAAGCAGGGTAATCACTTCAGAGAGCCAGAGGGAAAGAGAAAGGGAGAGAGAGGGAGCGAGAGACAGAGACGGAGCACGCCGAGCCTGTTAGTGGCTTCAGATCACAGGCCATCTTCAGTGAGTGGATGAGAATGCCAAACATGTCCCACAGGGCTCCCACTTTAAATAGCGAGAAGGAAACCTCTCGGAAATCCTTTTCCTTTTGGCAGTCTGTGATTGCGAAGGCCCTCAGGAGTGCAGCGTACACAGTTTCACACCAACACACACACACAGGAAGAAAAAAAACAAAACATCCCTCTGCGTCTGACATGCCACACGTGTAGACGAGTACATACAAACACAGACACATGTATCATATAGTGTACGCGTGCCCACAGACACGCCGTGCCACGCTGCGCGCAGCCCACACATGATTTCACATCAGCGTGGAACAAAGAGCAGCAGATCTGAGCCTCTTTCAAACTACTGTACGCCTTCTATTCCTTTTTTTTTTTTTTTTTTTTAATTCAATTCAATTTTATTTATATAGCGCCAAATCACAACATAAGTCGCCTCAAGGCGCTTCATAGATACAGAGAAAAACCCAACAATCATATGACCCCCTATGAGCAAGCACTTTGGCAACAGTGGGAAGAAAAAACTCCCTTTTAACAGGAAGAAACCTCCGGCAGAACCAGGCTCAGGGAGGGGCGGCCATCTGCTGCGACCGGTTGGGGTGAGAGAAAGTTGGATCTTTATGTCAGAAGTGCAGTGCAGCATATGGGTGTATATGTTTGTTAATGTTCAAGAGAATAGTTCACATTCACAGTGTATGTGTGGCTATTTACTATAACACAAAAACACCACAAAGACAGAGAAAACCTCTGTGTTATACACTGCAGTTTCACAAGTCAGATAGAGGAAATGGTGATAGTAATCTATACTTCCTGATATACTCCCTACGCCTTCTATTCCTATACATTTCACATTTTAATAACAAGCTAAAGGCAGCGTTTTAATGCAACTGTGTATACAACTGTTTATTATCACACATAATCAGCCGGCTCCCTTTTTTCTCTGTTAGACAAGGAAAGAAGCAGCAGTTCACACTAGAGCAGCTGAAACCAGAGATTTCTTGCTGGATTATTGACATGATTACTATAATAATGGTCGATCCATTCAACTGATTGACTGACTCATCTCCTAAGCTCTGATTTTAATTGTTAGGAAATAAGTGTTTTGGATTCCAGCTCCTCGTGTTCTCTCACGACGAAAATCGCAGATGGAAATGATGATCTAGTTTTTACCTTCTTCAAAGAGGTTATATGCTAAGGTTTTTTTGACCGTTTTGTTACTTAAAAAGCCGTGGACATATTTATAAAATTCTACCAATTTGAGAAAATTAGAAGTAATTCCATTCAGATCTGGATCCAGGAACTTTTTGAAGGGATTCTTCACCACTGAGAGACAGGCTACATCTTCACATACACATTTTAAACTGAAATAAGAGAAACTGACGGTCTATTTCAGATCCAGATATCTTTTCTACACCCTGAGAGTCAGAGCACGGTGCTGTAAAAATATAAAGCCTTTCAATGCATCTGTAACTGCTTTTATCAGCAGTCTTACTGTACGATAATGGAGACGAGTGCTGTGTTTTACATCAATAATTTCACACGTGTGCAATGGAAATAAGCATTTTCAATTTTTAGACACTACTTCAATTGACTTCTTGAATAATACAGGACAGAAATTGAAGCAACATCGTATTTACCCCTGTGGAGATGATCCCAAATACTTTCGAACTATTTCAGCTGGGCATAAAGGAATCATGAAAGGCCTCACCGCTCCCCAGCGTCCCTTTGCGCGGGGAATGGAACCAGAGTCTTGATATCAAAACTTCAAATACTTCCTGTAGAACCAATGCAATGGTGACGGGGTGGGAGGGGGGAGTTCATTTACACTTTACTCACTTTCTTTCCTTTCATTCTTCAACCCTCAGAAGTGTCTCTTCTCTGTTACATCGAAAGTCAAAAGAAGGACTGAAGAGAAAAATCTTTTCTTCTTTTCTTTCTTTTTTTCTTAAAAAAAAAAAAAAAACGAGGCACATTCCCTGTGAGCTATAGAGGCTTAGAATGGTTAGACAAT